CCCTCAGCGGGGGCTGGCGGCACCTCCGGGAAGGCGAATTTGAGAAAGGGCAAAAGGCTGCCGGGCAGCGCGGGGTGAGGGGAAAAGTGCGAGGAACAGCCCCGCACAGCCAGGGCCGGGCGGGAGGAGGGAGCAGCGCTGCAGGCCCCGAGCAGAGGCTCCCCTGCAGCCATGGAGGGGCCATGGGGGATTTCCCCGCAGCTCCATGGAGGCTTGGAAAGAGCCTCCCATGGTTCTGACTGATACCAGGTGAGAATACTTCCATCTTGCAAATCCACGCGATTGCTGGAGGAGCTCCCTTTTTAGCGTGTTTTCCTATTATGCAGTGGACAGTGTTGAGTAGGGAGGGAAGTACCCCTCAATATTATCTGCTCTCTGTCCAGGCCTAGGGACCACGGGGTGGTTATACACAGGCTAGATCATGAAGGACCTGAGATCACTCTATACGCATTCTAATTGCCTTCAGCCTTCCCTTCACCTCCATGTCTGTTCTCCTCACTTGCTCCTCTTTGTCGAGAAGCCCTGCGTTACCCTCCTCCTGACGCTGCAGGCAGCACGGGCAGGAGCGGGGTGGCACGAAGAAGCCTGGCCCTGAAGCCTGGCCTGGAGGCCTGCAGAGGAAGGTTGCCAGGTTTGCTGCTCAGGACAAGGAATCCCCTCAGGATGGTGAAGCTCTGCCTGAAACGGGCTTTTAGCATTCAGCACCGAGCTCTCCCACACCTTCATCCCTTCAGAGATGGGAACACCCTGGAGTGCTGCCACTGGCAGAACGACAAACCTCAAAACCCTTGCTGTCACTGTTGATTTCACTCCCTGGGAAGACCCAGCCCCTGGCGCAGACCATTTCCATAAAGCTTTGTTCCCTAGCGTGTGTTTGAACAGCAGTATTCCTGTCTGCTTGTGGAGTCGAAAATGGGAGCAAAAGCAGGCAGAGCCACTTGCTGCTTGGGACTTGGGCCTGCCTGGACAACATCGCAGCCACGAGGCAGTGAGAAAACTCTTCAGAGAAAACATTTTTTAAATTACACTTTTTCTGCAGGTGAGAGCCACCTTTCTTAAACACACTGTAGACCTGCTATACTAAATTTAACAGAATCTCTCAGATTTGTTTTTCACAAAGATAACAGTTTTCACAGAGCTGCTGTGTTCTAAAGGCCTGCTGTAGCTGTTTGGTGTTTGCCATGACAGCGAGCTATCCTTGAAGCGTGAGAATTGAGAGGTCACCCTCAGAAAAATGCAGATTAGGTTTGTAACAAATCAGAACAAATAAATTAAGCACTGTCACAACTCTTAAGGAGTTATTAATTGGGAGGTTTAACCCTCTAGGTGTTTTCAAAGTACTGCTAGTACTTCACCACCTTCTGCCATATCACTTCAGAAAGCAGTTTATCAGCCAAGACCATGTGTTAATAGGGCCCAGAAGAATGAAGTTATTAGGCTGTGATAGGGAGCTAACACTTCACATTTTTTTAGAGAAGTGGGTGGAGGAAACGGTGAAAGCCACTTAAAAGCGAACATTTGCTCAAATTGCTACAAAAATACAGTGATTGCCACTAACACCTGCTGTTCAGTTTATGGACTCAGTTTGCTCAACTACAAGACATCATCCCAAAGGCAGGCTGCTTAGGAGTTTGTTAGTTTAAACCTGTTTTTTATGTCTCCAACACAAGTATTGTATCACTTGTATTTTTCCTCCACTACTAAAAAAAATCCGTGAGTCATTTCAACACCAGAAATGGTATAAACTCAGCACAGGAAATAATGCTCTCCATAGCTCCTGCACATTTATGAGGTGTCCTTCTTTTCATTAGTTTGAATAACTTGCCAAATAATAATAATAAAAAAGTTCTGTTTTCTCCTTGTAACTTGTAAAGAAATGCAACTCTGGGAAAGTACAGTCTCTCTTTCTCCTTCCCCCACCAGTAATACAGAGCCTCCTAGTCTTTTGGAGGAGATATTTGAACGGTTGACACAGACCACTACACATAAAGCAGCAAATTTGCTGTGCATGATGTGAATAATTACTGCATTATAGTTTTGGGTTTTAGGGCAACTGTTGACTTAAGCAAAATAAGCCTGCAGTCCAGCTGCAGATCCAAGTTTTCATAAGTTTTCTTGTGTTTCTCCCTCCAGTGCTGTCTCCCTTAACAGTGACCCTTTTCAGGCTTTTCAAGGTACAAAACCTTTACCAAATCCTCGAGCTCAGTCCTGCACACTCTGCTTTCACACATTTGGCTGATCTGAGCTTCTCCCTCGCTAAATATTTTCCACTGGCCTGAAAACAAAAATACAAAGGAGACAGATACTGACTTAGAAAAGGGCACAGGGAACTTCGAAGACATTTACAAGCATTCTCCAGACCAACTGATTCACAGTGGTCAAAGAGAGAATGTCCAATCCTCCCATGGAAAATATTCGAAGTATCTTACAATCACGTAACATATTCCATGCAAAATAACTTTGTTAAAAATAATAAACAAGGACCAGAATATAATTCCTTTCTTTAATGAAGTGGTACTGTAATTTGACTATTCAACTATTTATGCTGTTGGATACTCTGCTTTATGACAGTGATGTGAAAATTTAACTCTGATGCTAAACAAAAGTATTTAAAAGTTGGGAAGCAACAAGTCTAAATGTTTCATGCACTGTGAACTCTGCCTACCTGTGTGTGATACAAACTGTGTTTGCTGGATATTAATATTTCTATACATTTTTGATGATGTTAATAGAAATGCCCACTGTCCTGGGACTAGAATACTATATAACAGTTAACAATGACAAGCTTACGGAAGGCTGACAGCAAAAAATTAGCAAATTTTGTATAATAAAAGGTGTCTGCTTCTCACTAAGCCTGTATTATCAAGAATATATTATTCCTGGGAAAAATACTTCCTCGCCTAATTAGAGACCTCAGAAAAAATGACAACTTGTAATGCAAAAGAACTGGGAACTAAAAATGTCTATACCTTAACTCAACTATCAAATTAACTGTCATATCCTAAGCTGGATGAAACACAAAAAAGAAATTGCATCAAGTGATAAAAGAATTACATGTCCTTTCAAAAGGCAGATTTTAATAATGAAGATATTGTTAAGAACATAGGAAAGGCTTCTTTCAAATATAACATATTTGTATGTAGGAGAACTCCTTTAATAATCTCCAAATTTTCTCCCTTCTAAATGACTTTCTAAAAAATTGGGGCAACTTGACCTGTTACTTAAATAAATCGAAACTGTGCTGCTGTACTGACATCAGTCATATTTCAGACTTATGGCAGTATGGGCAGAAAAACGGCATATCTTGTATTTTACCAAAATACAGGAGACTAAGACAGCATGGATGTGAACTACTGTTATAGGTATCTATATTTTAAATTGCTGGATTTTGATTATTTAAATCTTGACTTATGTTGGAGCCATGTACTGGAGGAAAAATTAGTACATCTGTTTGACTGCACTGAGTAAAAGGGAATGTTTTTCAAGGCTATGATTATATGTAGAATAGAAACCTGAAGAGGTAAGAATTTTACTTACTAGGGGTTGTCCTCGTTATCTGCTTGAAGTAAGGAAGTTCTTCAAATTCTCTCTTGGACACTTTTTCAACATAGAAGTGGCGCAGAATCCCTTTCAGCAAAGAAATGAGAAGTGCATGTTAGTGGAAGCGTGTCTGTTGTTCTAAACCTGGGTTGCTGTCCTGCCTTTATGTAGAATTACTGCCATGTCGAGTCACCTTGTGAAATAATCCTTACCAATTATGTGGATTTTCAGCCTGTTCTTTTTTATTCTGTTTGCCAACCCCCTAGTTTTTTGCTACTCCCCTGTAAAGCCTTCTGTGAATTTATGATTGCGGAGAGTTTGTGAGGGGTGTGAGAATTAGCCAATTCTTTTCCAACACAGCTGAACACTTCCTTAGTATGCATAAATGTAAGATTACAACAGAAGCCAAAATCCCAGTGTCTTGGAGAAAAACAGCATCATTTTGCAGTCAGATACCATTTTGCCTGTCATGAGCTAGCAGGCCACATCACTGTCAAATCATCACAAGGCTTTGTGGCTTCTTGAACACACACGGTAGTTATTAACCATCCCATCCTCTGTGACTTCTTTTCTGCTCACACTTTGAGCATAGCTTTGTGCTTTAGACTGCATTCTGGAGATGTATCGTTTCTGCGTACAGGGCTGCACCATATGGGGGTTTCCTATGAGGACCACATGCTTTTTGCTTAAAGTAGATTAAGTAGATGGGATTTTTAGGAGGCTGGAGATAATTTTTATTATACTAAAAAATCAGGATTTGCAGAAGTGCTTGGGCTTCTGAATGCTTTTCTATTTTTTTTCTAATTTTACCAGTTAGTCTAGTAAAAGATAGTTTCCATCCTTAACACGTTTTTTGCCCATATTCGAGACCATCATGGCTGTAGTATCACTAAGGCTGACAGGGCAGACCAATTTCAATGGAAAGCTTTTTGGTCCATCCTAAATAAGAACCTCCAGGCACTTGCTTCAAACCCTACTGCCCATTTCTCTGCAATAAATGACACAGGGTATTACTGACAACCTGTTTGTCATTGTGCTTTGGCTCACAGTGAAGGGTAGGCGTTCGCAGAACTAGAGCTTTGTGTGTTATTAATGGGTTTCGTACAGCAAAACTTGAGTATGTTGGAAGTGCCTGTAATAGCAATACCCTAAAGAGCCAGAACAGCAGTCTCAAGATGCTTGGATTTCTCCTGGGATTTCAATGGAAGACGACACACTGTTTAAAGAAAGAACTTGCTCAACTCACCTTTTCTAATTGTCCACACATGTATTTCTACTTGAGGTGGCTTTTCAGTCTCTACTGCAATTTTTCTGATGGTTTCTCCTTCTTCTGTGAAAATGGATTCATAGACGGGAAATGTCTCTTTCCCACAGAAGTAATCTTTGTTGTCAAAGGTTTGACTCGGCACCTCTTCTGTTTAAAAAAAGCCCAAAACACATACAACAGCTGTAATCAAGTCCTCCAGAACTTACTTGGCACTGATAGCCAAGCAGGTTCAGTTTAAAAGTAGAATTTTCACTTGTATGGCCAGTCAAATCCATCTCCAGCTAAGCCTTAGACATTTCATAGTGTTCTATTCTGCTAGGTTCTGACAGCCTCTCTATGGTGGCAAGACAATATTCGTATTTATAATCCACTTTCATAAGGAAATGAGCTGTGTAAAACCAGGTGGTCTGTGAGACTCCTCATAATTTTTGAACCTGTTGTCTACTTGTCAAGCGTATTTGAAATAATGGTGGAAGTCTCAGAGGTAATAAAATAAGTAAATGAAAACTGGTGGTTGGACAGAGTGAAGAGACCCAAGTTAATGCTTTGCTGAGGAAAAGGGCAGATAGAACCTACAAGGTTTGCATTTTGCTCGGCAGCAGCCAGCTGGCCAGTGCAAGTCCGGGCTGGCCACAGTGCAAGTTATCTCTTGCCCACCTGGTAAAGTCGTAGAGTGTGTAAGTAGAAATTGTAATTGTTCTGTTAGTAATTGGAAGTTGGACAAGAATGTAAGAGAGATGATGCAACTCAGAAACTTGGACTGCTGTTTGTGGAGAAACCTAATGATTAATACATCTCCACACGTACAAGACAGAGTGCAGGAAGAGGTTCAGCTTTCTTAAAAGCTGACACATAGAATCTCAAAGAAAAAGACAGTAACTTTCTTTTTGTTATTAAATTTTCTATTGAAGCCTGTTAGCCAGGTTTTGCTGACTGTTCTCATCTCAAATGAGCCCAGTAAAAGCTGTGGATCTGATTCACAAGTATCCAAAAAGGATCCAGATACACACCTCCTGCTTGCCTACAGCCACTGCATCCTGCTTTTTCCCAGTAAGTGAGGCTAGCAAGAGAAAATGGGAAGTGTGCATTCTATGAGGGATTTCTATAAACGACCGAACAACTCATTTCCTCAGAGCATTTCCACCCAATGCATCACCAAACAAACATAGAAATGGGCCATACAGATTAGAAAAGAAGTTTAAAGGCACAGAAGAGAACTGGACACTCCTTTACCCTTTATATCATATGCATCATCGCTGGTCATTTGGCAGACCATCAGCAGATTCGTATTAGCAGATTTTTCACTAGTTGTAGGCATTGGTTTTAGTAAGGAATGTCTACACAAGTTTAATCATTAGTGCAGCATAGAAATGATGCTGAATTTGTGATAAGTTGGTATTTCTCAAGGATTAAGTTATGTAACTGACACCAAATTATAATCAGGGGTTTTGAATCCTTCTGGTTCATTTTAAAAAGCAGAAGTGATATTATCTCCATGCAAATTTCATAAGCTGGAAAATGATTTGAAGGTTCTGTGCGGACTGTAGTGGGGGAAGGATGGGAGTGTCTTTTGACAGTAATGAACTTCCAGTGTACGTTTCTGGAATAGTCTCTTTGGAAATGAGTGTCAGGAAGTCATGCTAACAGTAGAGAGAAAGGCAGTGGCTGATCAGAACATACGTGCCCCAAGCAGCAAGCCCCCCCATTTGAGGAACAGCAGTGAACAGCAGGGCTGGCCCGGCAGCTCTGCCTGCTTCACACTGATACCTCTGCACATGCATTAGAAGAACGGGCACAGCTATTCCTGTTTTCATCAGATCTTATTGTGACCAGAAGGGTTGAGCCAAGCCCCTTAACATGCACAGAAAAAAGGTGGTCTGTGATCAACTTTGTTTTACCTGGACAGACTTTACAGCATTTTCCTTCTACTTTCTGAGGGTATTTGCAGGGATATTGTTCTGGACAATGAATTTTCTTACATTCTTGTTTGGTGATGTTGCAGGTGCACAACACACACTCTACGATTCCAAAGGCCCGGAGATTAGGATGCCAAGATTCACCATGTGAGTATGTTTTGCCATTTGAAACACAAACTACAAAAGAAGAGAAAAGGAAGAAAAAGTACAACTGGAAAAGGTATGTTCACTGGCTACCCCTCTATGAATACGCATTCGATTCATACACATTTGTTTAAAGCAGCATCTCTGTACATAATTTGTTAGTGTCTCTGGCCCATTTCTCTGCTTGTTAACTTGGAGTTTTGCTACTTAAAATGAGTTTGTGCCCATGATCACCCTTTTCTGAGCAGTTTTGCCTTGATTCCATCTCTGCTGACAGTCGTGTTCATCACTGTTTTGAGGGGAACAGTGAAGGTGGCTGAGTCAAGTATTTGACTAGCTCCTCTCCAGTGCACACATTTCAGTTGTGCATTATTAACCAGCTTATAAAACTCACTCCTCCTTCCCCTCCTAATCTCGGTCCACACACAGGATACAGTCTGCTACATTGGCTCTGGCTTCTAGAATTGAATCTGCAGGTGACAGGATCATGACATTTGCTACTGAGTCATCTGCACAACTTTTCTTACCATGGCTTTTGTAGTGAGAGCCATGCAATCAGCAGGATGGATTAGTGCCACCTGGGCCTTTTACTGCTTTCGCATGAGAATTCCTGCTACACAACACAGAGAACAAAGCAAGGGAATGTTGTAATATGAAGTTTAAGGTCCTTTGTGGAAATATGTATGTCTATAGGTATATAGAGACATTTGGCTTTTGGAATCACAAAAAAAACATTAACATGAAAGGATTCATATGGGACTGAAATTTCATTCCAATAGCAGCTAAGCACCTCAGAATATTTATTCATCAGTGCCCTTGGGAGACAGAGAAATACATCTGACAGAAGGAGAGTGGAAAAATCCATGCCTAGTAGAAGCCAGTTTGGGTCACCCAGCAGTTAATGGGAATTATATCACTTTACACCATGTTTGCATTTGTCCTATAAACCTTACTCCTTTCTTTTTAAATATTTTATAAACACAAAGAAAAATGCAAACTAATCCTAACAAGGTGAAAGAAAGGGCACTGCCTGATTTCTAAAAGCAACCAAAGTGAAGCTGGGATGTGTTGTAAATATTTCCAATGCTTCTAATATGCCATCATTTTTATTAATGCTTTTATTTGTAAAATATGTTCCTATTTTGCCTGTAACTTTCAAAAGCAATTTAATTTTTATCTGTAATCTGAAATTTACATCTAACTGGTAACAGATGTGACCAACTGGCTTATACTTTACTGAGTTACTGAGATTTATGGGGAGTGTTCTTTGCAATGTGTTGTCTTTCATGGGGTTATGCTATCATTTGGTTTATAATTTGCTACTTTTTAACTCTTTCTTAAGACATGTTTTTATTTTAGAGGTAGGAAACAGATTTGTTTCTCAAATAAAAGCAAATAAAGAGTTATCTGTACACTAAGAACATGGGAAAAAAACTATAAATGAGAAAACTGGTAAGTACTCAGCTGCTCAGCAGGCTTCTTATGTGCTTAAATACTATATTATTAGTTATATTTATGCTTATATTGAATCTTTTTTCCCCATCTAGAGTTCTCCAGATCCTTTATGGATGTAAATATTTCATGATTTCTTCCTGACAGGGAAAGGGATAATACATGACATTGTGTAGATACATATTATCTCTGTTTTACGGGTTTGCTTAGCACAGAACAGTTAAATAATTACTCTGAGGCAGCAGATGCAGTCTCTAGTAGAAGCAAAAATATGGCAAATAACTTCTAGTTCCCTGATGCCCTGGTTTTAGTGCGCTGCATGTTTAGAATGATAAATCTGTATCCACGCACAGTATTTACATATCAGGAGAATTGTTGTGCATTTATTTTTTAACTTGTTGAAATGTGTCTCAAGGGGCATGTGCGTTAATTAATAGAACACTTGTTAATTGCACAAGAACAAAAGAAAATACATGGTCAGCATTCCTGTTTCCATCACGGGGATCTCTCAGACACTCTCCAGGCAGCGAGTGTCTGAAGTTGTGGCAGTTACTATGTACTGCATCCAGAAATATGCTATTCGTCTGTATGCTCTTTATTTGCTGAAACAAATCAGTTAGAAATTGCTTTGATGATGTTTTCATGTGTGAATTACATGTCAAAGATATTGCACTGCATGGAGATTCCTGCTCCTAGATTCAGCATAAAACACTGGCATGATCTGAATGTTTTTTCATGCTTGTTCAGGTGGATAATAAAGATCCTATGGCCAACATTCCTTCTGTTAGTTAATACCTTAAAAGATTAGTTGGCCCTAATACAAGGGCTTTTAACTCTTTGTGGGTAGTTCTAAGTGCATACTGGCTGGTATTTGTAGATAGATGCTGTTCTGAACATGAATTTTTACAGCTATTTCTTTTATGGCTTCTTATGCCTATTCCTGCAGACGTCTGTTCACTGATGTACACCCACTGTAGGAACTGAGCATCCCATCCTTTTTATTGTACAAAACCTGCTGTCCCACTAACTGGACAATCACTATTCTCCCTCTATTTTTGTCCTTCCTGTAATGCAGCAGG